AAATTATTGACATGTTGCGCGTCAGCATTGAATATGTCTTTGTGTTTGGCCAAACTGGTTCGTTCATTTATTATCGGCGGTAGTCGGGTGCGATTAAGATTTGAGGTTGGGAAGTTTGTGAAATTAAGGGTGTAGATTCATGCTGTACTCATAAAGAGTTGCATTGCGAAATCAAATTGGTAATATTGCTGTAGGAATTAATTTCGAAGTCAAAATCAATTATAGAACAGGTGAATACGGTGAAATAGGAATATAATGTTTTAAGGCGGCGACTGATTCATGCAATCGATCTATGAATATGGCTATGAGTTATGATTTTCGACAGATACGAATGCTTGAGCTTACGGCGGAATTTCTTCTGTTACTTAGGTGCAGAGTTGAGAGTAGTGGTTTGAGGTCGACGGTCTGACACTTTGCGACTTGAGATGGTCCTGTACTTTGCGTCATCGAAATGTCGAGTAATAGGTAGATGTAGAATTGTTTGTGGTTAGAACTAATATGCGACTAATATAGGTACCGATCGTTGTGCTTTTGTAGAATAAATACTAGAAAAGACTAGCTTTGTTGGGAAACGATCAAATGGGACAGAAGTTTAATAAAAAAACCTTACGTGGAATGGAGCTGATGAGATGTCGAACAGGGAGATACTGCAGCGATATTTTACCAGATTCACACTCACTGACACACTCGTTGAATCTACCCGGCCCGAAGAGACCGCACACACCAGTACTGCACCGCGAGTGATGACGCGCCCATCGCGGCGTGGCCTTGACAACTGTCGACTGTCGACGCGGCGCCGGCCGGCAGCCGTGGTAATCGTCGTTCGCGACGCGGGACCGTGCGCCGCTAGATGGCACATGAGAGCAGCGTCGGGAGTGGAGCAGCGGCCACAGTAGGGCAGTGGGCTAACCGTAATTGAGGCGCGTGCGGTAGGTGAAGGTCATGGTATAGGGGCATGGTTAAGTTGTGGAAAGTTGCAACGGGATAAGAACGTAAACAGTTAATGCATAATTTTAAATATGACATGCTATTTGATATTTAGGACTGCACTTCGTTTGATGTGCATTGTTTACTGCTAATAGGATGATTTAAATTATATTTTCTATGAAAGGCTAGGGACCCCTATGACAATATTCTGGCACTCTATAAAGATAATTTGTATAGGTAACTAGTAGCCCATCAGAAGCTATCGAACGAGTTTCAAGGAGTCATTTCCGTTGAGCATTCAGTAATTCACTATGATACGGTGGATCACAAACAGACGACAGATCGGTGCGTACTAATTGGTTCTAGATCATCTGATTAAATCAAGAGCGGTTCAAGGTCTGCTAGGAGTGTATACGAGAACTAGTGATTAGGTTCATGCGTGCAGCAGCAATTAGAACTTGAGATTACGATTAGGTTGGATAAATAATGCGTTTCTGTTATTCGCGTTCTTACGAGTTAGTGCCAATAATTACTCCACCAATATTGGCACAGGGCATTGTGAGGCGCAGACGGCTTGTTTGCCCGTCTCCTATGGCGTAATGTTTACCAGCATGACTGTATGAGACACAGATGCACTTCTCTAAACCCACGTCCAGACCGGAATAATAAGAGGGACACACCGTCACGTACGCAGGGCATATGCACGTTTTCCGCCAGTGGTACCGGCCACTGTTAATTTTCCCGCTTAGGTAACACTGGGTGAGAAGGCAGTGAGAGGTTTCTACGGCAGGGGGAAGGGGAAGATTGGCACAGTGTGCAGTGGAGAGTAAGTTATGCCAAAGGCAAGAAGCCGAGGGTCAGGGGTGAGTCACCCAAAAGTGCGGATAAGGCGAGCCGTAGTGTCCCGAATAAGTCCTCATACTTATTTTGTAAAGGTACCTTAATCGGTACTGGACAGCCTCAGGGGAGGGAAGAATGTACTCCAGGACACGTAAGGCCTTGAAGAGTAAATCCCATGGTTTAAGGAGAGTTCCTGAGGAGAGTTCCAGGATATGAACGGTGGTCCCTGGGTCGTGAACGGGAATGTTACACGCGGACCGGAAGAGGGCATAGGTAATCTCTCCCGGATAGAGAGATAAGTCGGATGTAAATCGCGTATATGTGTACCATAAGTCTATCGGACGTGTAGTGAATCCCATAAATTAGCAGGGTGGATATTTGTGCAATTATTCTGGACGGCCCTGCGATAAGTATCTTAGTCGCCGGTTAGCGGAGCATGCATATGGATTTCGGAAAGAGACATTTATCTCGCCGGGGAGACCCTGGTTTGTAAGACGCCTAACACTATCGGAGGGAATTTCGGGGGCTATCAATTAAATTTGGGTGAATACATGAAATGCAAACGTAATGCGAGCAAGGGTGTGAGAATGACGACGCATGAATCTTAGAATAAGGCCGATAGGAATTTGATAGAATTCGGTTACGGCAGTCGAACAAATGATTCTCGAGGGCAGTAAAACTAGCAACGCTAATACGAATTAAGTGGGCAATTTCCTTAATGGGAAGGCCAGTATAGGAATGGGTGACTGGACAAATGATCACATTCAATTTATCAATGTAATTACCACCCTTATGTTTGGCAGTGGTCATCGGGACTTCGAATGCCCTGTCCTTCACCTGCCCAACTGTGCCGCAAACCCAGCTGATCGGATCCCTCTATCCCAAATCCGAGCAGTGAAGAAGCATCTCGTGCATCATGGTCTATATGTTACAGACCGTATGAAAACCCAGTCCGTTTGCAAACGGCCTGGCCCCGTCAGGCCGTTTGAAAACGGCCTGAAAAAGCCGGCCGTTTGCAAACCGCCTGAAATATCAGGCCGTATGAAAACGGCCTAGGCAGTTTGAAACGGCCTAGACAGTTTGAAAACGGCCTAGTCAGTTTTCAAACGGTCTGGCGAAGTACAACAGCCTCTGAAAATTGAACTTAAAGGATCCAGGCTGGTCGATGATCAGGTTGCATCGATGCAAGCATTCACATGGATCCATGTGAATGCTTGCGCATTCCATGCCGAATGACTCGTCTACATGCGTCGAATATTTTCTTACTGTGCTGATGCTCGGCCCGGCCGTTTTTCGACAATATTAATAATTATACAAGTTCACAGTCCGCCTGTGTACGGCCATCCAGTTGATGGAGCCTGGTGAAGCCACTACTGGTGAGGTCTGGTGAAACGTATCACTACAAGACTCACCGATTATTTTGCGGCATAAAACGCCGGAGCGCGCAATGGACATCAGAGTTCACATCAGTGGCGCGGGAACCGGGGTGGGGGGGGGGGGGGGGGCTAGCGGGGGCTGAGCCCCTCCAACTTTTCGGCTGGGGGGGGGGGGGGCTCGTAATGTATTTGAGCCCCCCCCCCCCCCAGCTGGAGGAATCGAAATCGGAAATCTACCAACATAATTTCATAGATTCATACATAGGCGCGGGAACCGGGGGAGGGGGCAGTGGGGGAAGCTTGCTCCCACAGCTCTGGGGCCGTGGGGGCGGTGCCCCACAACTTTTCATGAGGTCAGGAACCGTTGGCGCAGCTTGTCCTCCCCAAAGTAAGGGTTGTGGGTCACAAAGGAAGAAAGCATGTAAGTGAAAAATCCACCTCTTTCACTGGCTCGGCAACTCATTTGGCAGATTAAAACCTTTATTCCAGGTTGCAAAAACGGTAGATTCTTCACTCAGCTGAGACGGAATACCTGACTTTTTTGCAAATATTTGCGTTTTTTGTTGTTGAAAAGGCCAAGGTCTGAAAAATAAGTGGCCTAAAACCGGTGAGAAAACTAGATTTGGGGGTACCCTAGGTTGATCTCTATTATGGTTCAGCCCCCCCCCCCCCCCCCAGTCTGGAAGAAGTTCCCGCGCCATGCTGGTTCACCGCGAAGAGTTGTCACCGCGCCCGGTCGACCGCCGGCGGCTGGCCGGTGGCGTACGCCGGCAATACTTGACCATTGCGGTGGAAGGCGAAACTTTGAAGTCCGGGGGAAGCCCGCGGGTCGACCGGGCGCTATACGGGCCGGGTCTCAGTTCTGCTAATCTCTTCCTGACCAGACCTGCATTCGTCATCGGGAAAATCAGGGAGAATTTTCCGGAACTAGCGAGAATCATCGGGGATCACGAACGGTATCGCGATAACGAGACATGCTGAAGATAGGCGCTCAACAATGATTTTCCGACGGAGAATATCCGATTGACAATAGTTTTCCGGATGCCGAATTCACCTTAGGATTCCATGGTGCCATTGGTGCCATGTAATGTCATGAAACGGTCGTGCTTCAACAAACTCAACATTGTCCAGCTGTAACTTTATGCAGACCAGATTGTTTTTAAAATGCCTAGACCGTTTGCAAACGGCCTGGTGTCTGGAAAGTTGTCATACGGACTAGACCGTTTGCAAACGGCCTGAAATTTCAGGGGGTTTGCACACAGCCTGGAATTTCAGCCCGTATTCAAACGGCCTGACTTTTCAGTCCGTTTGCATACTGACTGGGCTGTCCAGGCCGTTTGCAAACGGCCTGAATCGGGCCAGGCCGTTTGCAAACGGACTGAGTTTTCATACGGACTGTAACATATACAATGAACAGAATCATCAAGCCTCTAAATTAAAAAGCATCTTCCATCAGATGTATTTGTACGCAAGGTGGATCTGTCTCTAGACATCTCCCTCAGGTGGATCTCAAGATCTCTATCAGGTGGATCTCATCTATCTCAGGATCTCATCACTATCTGGATCTCTCTCTAGATCTATATCGGGATCTCTTCAACGACTCTCAAGCTCCCCTGTATCACAAGCTCTACTACCGAGTTCTTTCCAGCAGCAAATAGCTCTGTTCTTCTACAACCAGCTGAACGACAGCGGACTGCGGTGGTTGGTGAACTGCAAGATGTACCTCTTCATTATTTTCATACTTCCCTTTATTTCCCTTGCTACACTAATGCTAAAGGCATACTTCGGCATATGCTAAAACTAAAAAAGCACCAAATCAAAAGATGCCGGCAAAGATGCTATGATTGGCGTACTTGCCTAGGTGGCCGAAGCCGCAGATGCGGCTGATGCGTCCACTACCGAAACGGCTAAGATGCTGTCGCATGTCCACCACTGATTCGTAGAACTTGTGGTGCGGCAAAGAGACGTCGTACAGCCACGCATATCCATCGCGCAGGAGAGCCTCCGGAATGCTCTCCCGTAGCGTCCACATAGCCTGAGAAACAGACAGTCGTCATGTCAATTGTCGAGCAGCACGGTGTGACCTAGATCCAACGTTTCCAAGCGTGTGATTAAAGGAAGGGTGCCACCTTTTGGACACAACGCAGTTTTTACAAGATTAGCCTCACATGAACCTAAAAACCGGCTTCACTTACCTATGCTCGAGACGGTCAGCATTGAATCCGCACGTGAAGTTATCATTTGCGAGTTTTGCTGCCAGCATTCGGGCAGGCAAAAATCTTCAGCACTATTTCCTCGTCGTGTTAAGGGTATTTTATAAAACATGAAATCAGCAAAGGTATGTATAAAAGTTATACTTTTGAAGCATGTTTTATCATTTTGAAAGGGTATATTTTTTCTTTATGGTATACACTTAAGTTTTAAAATTTTAATTGGGAAGTTTTTCTAGTAAGTTGCATGAAGGGTGAAGGGTTCCATAGATCTCTTAAACATTGTAAAGGAAAAACCTTTACTCGACTTATTTGATGTATTTATTTGATGTATTTATTTATTATTATTATTATTATTTGATGTATTTATTTGATGTATTTTATTGATGTATTTATTTGATTTGATTTTTGTCTCAGTTGCGCCATCAATGCAAATGGCAGAATTATATGTTGCCATGACAACAGGATATGCCAGCCGTCCTAGCTGCCACATCAAACGACCTTGAGTTGTAGTGGTGATATAAACAACGATCTTTTTTTTGGCCAATGTATTAAATGCAATGTTTCGGTTTTTTGTATATTGTGGACGCGCTAACCACGTCTAAAAATTCAAATAAGTAAAAAAAGTAAAAAATAGATTCGAAGTAAAATAGATTCATAGAACAAAAATTTCGGAAGGTGGCACCCTTCCTTTAAGCTATTGAAGTATTTGAGCGAGCTCGCCCCCGCGCAGACGAACCGCTCATAGTGATGCAAAAGGGGTTCACGAGTGGCTAATAATACCCTAAAGCCACGTTAACCAAACCGATTAAGTCGCGATATGGCCAACCAGAGATATGTTTGGGACATCTGAAATCGCATGGGTCATTTCACGCCAAGTCGATCAGAATTTGGTACTTTTGACCCTTACCCCTTTCGATTTCGATGAAATTTGGTAGGCCTGGAAGGTAATCTATTCAGCAATTTTTAGTCCCAGGTCACCTCTGAGCTCAAAGTTATGGATCATGAAACGTCAACGGTTTTTGCCGATGTTGATTGTTGCGGGATTAAAATGCCCATTTCTCTATAATTAAGAGTGCGGGGAAGATGCGATAAGCGTAATTAGAGAGGCAATTGATCTAAATTTTGTAAACAATTTTAAATATGTCAATGGCCTTTGACCTTTGACCTGACCAGGTCGAACTTGGTATTTTCAAATGTGACCAAACTCTGTACCTCAGATGCTTACGGAAAATTGGCAGAAGATGTACCATAGTAAGGCAGGACCATAGTTACCATAAGTAGGACAGTTATTTACTGTTATCATAAGTAGGACAGTAAATAAGGCCAAAAAAAAATATTTCTGGGAAAATTTTAGCTTGTAAAGAAAAAAATCCTCATATCAAACTAAAGCCAAGGACTCAGCCACGGACACACAGTGGGCCAGGCGCTTCAAAAAAGCGGAATTAAATCAATGAGCACAGCTGCGGTGCCAAAAATGATTCGTTACAGGGTAAAATATCATGCTAAGGCCGAATCCGATATCCATTTTCAAATTTGATTGGTTACGCTAGGTCACTGACCTATGACGTCATTATTTAATTTCTGCGCTGCACATATGCCTGGGACAGGCGGGCACTATGCCGCATTGGCCGCGCGTTTGCAGTCTTTTCATGGTTTCAAGCGTTCAAACATGTGATATGATGTTGGTCCCATGCATTAGGGTGGGTGTAAAGGTCACCTGAAGGTCAGGTCAGGTCATTGACCTTCGATGACCTCGGTTCACTTTTTCGAGTTTTACATGTTTCTGGGCTAGTTTTTGGAGCTGAATTCGAATTTAGGAACCATTTGAACATTAACGAAGTAGTTTTGGTGCCTTCGTAACATGTTACGAAGCTGTCAGAGGCGGGTTGACACCTACTACGAATACCCGGCAGGACCCATACTGGTTGACCTGACCTGAGCTGACCCGACCTGGCCTAAATGCATGAAGACATCATCTGTGATCAAAACTAACATGATATTCGTGATCAGCATCCCGAAAAACCCCTTAGCATCCACACTATACGACGTTCTAACAGGTCCCGACTTTCGGCCATTGATCTGACCTCAGAGGTCACCATTTGACCTATGACCTTAAAACCGGGTACCGTTGGCTTCGTCTCGCGACGACCTACACGATGGTTTTTTCTGCGAGGCTCTAGCTCAATTAGGGGCCAAACGCGAGGAGGGTCGCATCCCCCTGTGCCGTCGATGGATGCAAAACGGCCTATGCCGGCGAGGGTTAAACCCTTATTTGTCCATTTCGCGCAAAAATGCGCAAAATATTTGCATTGGGCAGTAAGCTATACACCTTGAGGAAAGTCAGGCAGCAAATATCTTCGTGTTGTTTGGTGACGTTTTCTTTATATCCTTATATAAATTCATTGCGTCGTTGCACTACCACGGTTCCGAACAGGCACTGTAAAACCCACCGCTACTAGTAAGCATGAAATAGTTCCCGGGGACTTGAGTACGAGAAACATGCGCAGAAATACCGGCTGTTTTTTTTAAGCTATTTTGTACGGAATAACTAATGATTTTACGCTGAGAGCTTTTGAATCGGGGGAACGGAAAATGGCACACAGCAGTCATTTCCATCTCCAGTCGGTAAGTCCTACTTTGCGACGTTATAGCATTATCTGCCTTGACATTGGGGAAAGGAAACTTGCTTATTCGGAAACTTTGGACATTTTTACAAATTACAATACTCTATCCCATAATTACAGGAATTTCACCGAAGTTGATTTTCGACTTAATTCCGCTTTTTTGTTGCGCCTGGCCCACTGTGGGACAGTGGCGTATTCAGGGGGGGGGGCATGGGGGCCATGGCCCCCCTTTCCGCCCAGCCGCCCAGATGGCGCCCTAATTAGCGCCGACTAGGCTGATGCTGTATTACAGAGGGAACATAAATTAAAAAGTGATGTGCAGGCAGGGATCGAACTCAATATCTCTTTGGGGGTGCCTGGACACCCCTATGTCCTCCAGGGCACCCCCAAATAGGACCTGAGCCCCCCAATGTTGAAGGGCGCCCCTCCGGAAACCAGAATATTCCGAACCCCCAGGGTCGATGGCGCCCCTGAAGAGCCGCTGGCACCCACCTGAACGGAACAGTCGCCCCATTAAAGGTTGATGGCGCCCCTCTGAAGTTCACAGTTGCCCCATTCGGCCCCATCCAAGATCGATGGCTCCCCCTGAAACCACTGGCGTCCCTCTAAAGCACCTGCATTCTTCTCAAGATCACAGTCGCCCTATCCAAGATCAATAGCTCCCTCAAGAGAGCCACTAGCGCCCCCCCCCCCTCGAGACTGAAGTCGCCCCATTCAAGCCCAATGACGCCCCTCCAGAGCGTCCGGTGCGCTTCTGAAGATCACAGTCGTCCTCATCCGAGGTCGCTGGCGCCCCTCAAAAGTCACTGGCGCCCATCTAAACGGAGATCACAGCTGCCCCCTCTTAAGATCGATGGCAACCCTCTGAAACCAATGGCGCCCTTCGTACCCGGCGCCCCTCTGAAAATCATATTCGCCCCATCCGGATGGGGCGAATATGATTTTGACCCCAGCACCCCAGCAGGTTCAATTAAAAAAAAAAAACGCATACGCTGGAGGCGGCACCGCACTGCTAGGCGGGGGTGGTATCGCAATAATGGGCGGCACTGTGCTGAGACGCACCACTTGCATTGAAGGGGCGGCGTCGCATTGAGGGGCGGTATCGCAACGAGGGGTGGCACTAACGAGGCTGCTTTATAAGAAACGCTTTGCACATCCTAGCCCAGCTCGGCGCCGCCTGGCTGCTGCATCTTCAAAAGGGCCCTTGGTGTCGATGAGAGTGTCAAATAATTACCTAGCGTCAGTGGTTTCTGAGGGGGGAGCGCTCAGATCTTGGATGGGGCGGGGCGAATGAAGTCTCCATTCAGATGGGTGTCAGTGACTACTGGAGGGCGTCAACGAACTCGGATAGGGCGAATGTGATCTTCAGAAGGCCACCGGGTGATCTAGAGGGGTGTGATGCTTGGATGGGGTCATTGCTGCCTTCAGTAGGGCGTCGGACGCTCTGAAGGGGCGCCATTGACCTCGGTTGGTCCGACTGTTATTTTCAGAGGGACACCAGTGGTTTCAGAGGGGCGCCATTGATCTAGGATGGGGCGAATGAAGTCCCGGTTCCGGTGGGCGCCAGTGGCTCTTGAGGGGCGCCATTGGGTATGGATGGGGTCGCTGTTGCCTTCAGCAGGACGCCGGACGCTCTAGAGGGCGCCTTGAGCTTGGGTGGGGCGACTGTAGTCTCAAGGGGCGTTGTCTCGGATGCATCCGAGACTAACACCCACTTCTAACTCAGCTTGTGGGCCACATTGAGACCCGCAATAGGCGGCGTTCGAAAGAGCGTCAAAAACTTTTGCAAAACTACTTAAACCATTTTTAAGGTTAGGTCGAACTGGTCGAAGGTCAGGTCACCAGAGACAACCAAAAACCAAATTTCGCCGATTTTGACATTTTTTGACAAAGCAGTTAAGTCAGGATTCAGAAAGAGATTGAGCTACAGCCCCGCAGCAAAGCGCATTCGATAGCTCTTTCTTATTAATTATCTCAGCTTTGACCTAAGGTAAATGTTTTAGCCTCAAAATATACGTTTTCGCGGAGGACGTTTATCTGTAATACCTTTTGACTCAGACCTGCACGAGATTAGTTAAACCGGCATCGTGTTCCATTTTTCGACACGAATCAAATGAATTAGTATTTGACATTAAAAGGGCATTTTGAGAATTTGACCAAAGGTGAAGGTCATCACCTAACCGGGAATGGTCATATTG